GCTCAGGCAATCCACTCACCTCAGCCTCCCAAAGGTGAGGGATTACAGGCTGAGCCACCGAGCCCGGCTGGGGTGCCTTTTTAAACAACCACCTCTTAGAATTTCACCAAATTCCTGAGTATAATATAGGAATTTGCAGAAAGGGAAGCTCTTCTAATGAAATGCCAAGCTGATGGGAAAAAAACTGCAGGAAGCCCTCCCTAAGCCCAGGATTTGGACAGAAGCCATATATAACACCTATCTGCAGTGCGTTCTTTCCATTAGAAAGAGCACAGGCTTTGAAGTTGGGAGGCCTGGGTTCAAAATCTGTGGCTCTGTCACTTCTAATGGTCTTGGACAAGTTAACTAAATATCTCTGAGCCTCTGTGGCCTTAGACAAAATTCTGGGCTGATAATTCCTGCATCACGAGGATCAGACCATGACTAGTGTAAATTATCCAGCATAGTGCCTAGTGCTAAGCCAGATGACCAGGAGGGGAATCCTTGAGCTTCCCCAATTTTTTTCTTATGATGGTTCATCATAGTCTTATGTCCACAGAACTCTAAGATTCCTCCAAAGAGAACTAGAATCAAAGAGAGAGGGAGAATATCATCTTATCCTTGGTAAGATTTCATGTGTTCACTTTAGACCAGAGATAGCAATGATGCAGAAATACAGGGTCATAACAGCAAGATGTTTTAATTGAGGCTTTTGGGCAAGCTACTTAACTCTGTTAATGCCATCTACCTCAAAGGGTGGACATGAAGATTAGAGGAGATAGGGTATATATTAAGTGCTTAGCCTAAGACCTAGCATACAGTAAGTGCTCATACAGTAAATGAAATGGAGGTTTCATTATTTTGATAATTGTGAATGAGCTTTGATAATTGTTAATAATCATTTGATACCAAATGGCCATTAAAGTGACCCAATTTGTGTGTTTTTACATTACTTTGGTAGTGCCCTACTTCATTTCAGTTCTCTCCTCCCTTTTTTCCCCTCCTGCCATGGCTTGTACAGTGGTTTTTACAGAGAATTTTCAAGTCCTGTGGTATCCAGAGTATGTATAATGGTTTGTGTTATTTTCAGGAGCTTTTTACGCAATTGTGAGGTTATGGGTTTGGTTGGAGCTGAAATATTTTGAAAATGGTTTGGTCAGCAGATATGTAAAGTAGAGGTTTGCCCCATTGTTCGAAAAACCAAGTTCAGAATAGGATGAAACCATTATCTATCTATCTATCTAAAATCTAGAGCAGTTGAGTAATGGATTATGGATTTGGCTGTTTAAATTATGGTCATAGGAGGAAAGCAAAGCAAGGAGATTCACAGTGGGATTGTGTGTGGTAGGGAAAGGATGGTTGGCTGTGCTCCTGGAGAAATTTTGTAGAGCAGAGAAAGGCTTCCTTTCCTGAAATGTTAGGTGAGCCTCAGGCCCCCTTGTGAGAACACTACTGTACGTAGGTGCACAATTGTCAAAGAGTATAGCACATAAAATCAAGATTCTTCCCCCTTTCCCTAACAGGTGAATCTTTTGAAATTTCCTAGATTATTTCAGGGACCCAACTCTTGCGTAAAGCAAAGTACCCTCTTACATTGCTCTTCCTGGGCTGGATACTCAGTAAATTGTGCCGGGCTGCCTGGTAAGTGGAGAGCCCTGGCAAGTCATCTTTATTTGGTGGAAGAGGAGATACGGGGTTCTTTTAATGTTGCCTTGTGCTCTTCTGCAGATGTCATGTGGCCTGTGCTTTGGACCGTGGTACGTACCTATGCTCCCTATGTCACATTCCCTGTGGCCTTTGTGGTTGGGGCCGTGGGCTACCACCTGGAATGGTTCATCAGGGGAAAAGATCCCCAGCCTGTGGAGGAGGAAAAGAGCATCTCAGAACGCCGGGAGGATCGCAAGCTGAATGAGCTGCTAGGCAAGGACCATACCCAGGTGGTGAGCCTGAAGGACAAGCTGGAATTTGCCCCTAAAGCTGTCCTGAACAGAAACCGCCCAGAGAAGAATTAATGGAGGACACAGAGCCCTCTGGTCCGACTGTGGGCCGTGACTGGTCCTGCTGCCGTGTCAGTCCAGCTCCAGAACTCACCTCTGGCTGGTTTTGTTGCTTATTCTGGCTCCTCCCACACCACACAGCCACACACATACTGGTTGCTACTTGATGTCCAGGCAGACCCAGCAGCAGCTGAGAGCCCGTGAAGAGGAAGGCCCTGGAGGGTTCTGGCCTGCAGGCCACATCTGTTGTGTGGCAGCCACAGCTGCTCAGTCTTCCGAGCCTAAGAGTGCACTACCAGGAGGAGTGTTATGGAATGAACATTTGCTGTCAGCCTCCATGGCGTTGCCTTTAGGAGGGATACCTACATGTCTAGTTCCAGTTTGCACTGGGAAGAATTCAGAAATCTACTGGCTTCCTTTACTAGTTTGCCCTATCCTTTGTGCTCATTCTTACTGCAGTTCTGTCTTGTCAGCTCAGGAATGGGATTCCCCGGAGAAGGAAAGCATTTTTCTGTTCTGGGAAGCCCAGGCTATTCACTTTGGGGCAGGGAGGAACATGTGCCTGGTGAATTTGCCTGAAAACAATCATCCTCCATCCCCCATCACTGTATAGTGCAAAACATGATTAAAGTGGCATCTGAGAACCATATTGATCGAATCCTATCTTCCAGATGGTAACTGGCCTCTTTGCAGGAGTTGGGCAAGTAAGCAGGCATTCAGAGCAGGTGACATTTGTGTATAAGGACTCCAGTGGCCCTGGAGCCTTTGTTATGAGTGAGGTTGTACTGAATCTTGGGGGCACAGCTTCCTAAGAGCATTTTTTTTTTTTAAATTGTGGTAACAGTGATAACAGGAGGCTGTAGATTATCACACTGGTCTTAAATTTTTTTTTTTTAAATAAAATACAGATAACAAGAGGCTGTAGCATCTTCACCTCAAAACTGGAGTAGATCACACATATGCTTTATATATGCATATTAAAGAAGATTTGGTAGGGATTAAAAGAATGCCACCCATGCTATTCTAGCTTTTTAATACAACCAACTGTTAAAATGTTGTCTTTAATTCTCTGTATAGGTTTTTAAAATTATCATTACTGTACATTTAACTTTATATTTTTCTCACATTTTTTATAGTCATTTTCCATCTTATCACGTGGTCATCATATATATATATTTTTTGGGGTCAGAGTCTCACTATTGCCAAGGCTGGAGTGCAGTGGCATGTTCAGGGCCACTGCAACCTCGACTTGCTGGGCTCAGGTGATCCTCCTGCCTCAGCCTTCCAAGTAGCTGGAACTACAGGCATGTGCCACTGCACCTGGTAAATTTTTTGATTTATTGTAGAGATGAGGTCTTGTCAAGTTGCCCAGGCTGGTCTTGAACCCTGGGCTCAGGCAGTCTTCTCACCTCAGCCTCCCAAAGTGCTGGGATTACAGGTATAAGCCACCGTGTCTGGCCAGTCTCTTCTCCTCTTACTTCCTCCTTAACCCTTTCTAACCACTAATTGGTTTCCATTCCTATAATTTTGTTGTGGCTACTGCAGGCTCAACCTTCTGGGCTCACGTGATCCTTCTGCCTCAGTCTTCCAAGTAGCTGGAATAACAGGCACATGCCAACATGCCCAGCTAACTTTTTTTTTGATTTATTGTAGAGACAGGCTTGAACCACAGAGCCTGGCCCATAGTTTTTTTTAATAGTTACATAATTGCCCATCAAGTGGGAAAAGAGCATAAGTTTATTTTGAACAGTTTCCCTATTGCTATTTGAATTGTTTCTAAACTAGTTGTTTACTAGTTTAAATACTGCAATGACTATCTTAGATAAGGCTTTTCCTGCATTTTGGAGTCAATGATAGAAACAGTAAGTGGCATGCTGAATGAAGTAGAGTGAGCAGTTTTAAGGTCTCCATGCGTAATACTGAATGTCTTTCCTAAAGGGCTATAGGAGTTTATACTAGTTGTTACCGCTTGGGATGTTGCAGGTGAGGTGGTAAGGGGAGTGAGAGCAGAAAGCAGGAAGAGGCATCCACACTTGTCCCATGAAGCTGACTGATGTTTAGCCTGAGTGAGCAAAGGGCAGAAATGAGCATTCAATGAATAAATCTGCTTTTAAAAGGGGGAGGGCCTTGGACCCGTTTCTTATCTCAGACTCTCTCTACCGAGACCTGAGGTGTTGGCAGGTGGGTGAGAGTGGAATTCCTGAACAGGTGGGAGATGCCAGCTGTGCAGTGGGAGATGCTGGGAGGACCTGGAAGCGGGTGGCCTGAGAGGAAGGAGCAGGTCCAGTCCGTGGCTTCCCTTCCGTGTGGCTGAGGCCTAGCCAGTAGGAATGGTGAAAAAGAGCTGCTGTTGCTTCCCAGGGAGCGAATCTGATGGAGAGTTTGGGTAAAGACTGTCAGCTTTCTGGTTCTGAAAGGATCTGCCAAGCTCGGCTTCTGTTTACAGCGCTGCCTGGTGGACGTACCTCATTGGCAGCCTAGTGCGCCGCCTTGTGGCAGTCGTTAGCATTACCAAGCCTGGGATCGCTTGCTTTTCTGGGCTAAAGCAGGAGTAGCGAACCCTGCCACTTACAGGGGTCAGTCAGGTGACAAATGATCAGCCAGGCTGGCCGGGCAGGCCGTTACAAAGCACAGACCTGCCAAAAGGGGGCAGTGGTGATTCAGCTTCTACTCACCCAGTGGGACCCGATTTTTGTCTAAAAGATGCTAGAAATTCAGGTTGTATTTGTGCTTAACCTGATTTTTTCAATGTTGATAGTTAATTTTTAAAATTCTAAGCTTGCTAACATACCTTGGGGCTAATTTGACCCAGTGGCTGCTAATTGGTGACTCCTTACACTGGCCCTCCCTCTAACAGTAACTGAGAGGCATGCATTTTTTAGCAATCTAACAACTTGTGACAAATATTCATTAGAGCCCAGAATTGGTTTCCTTCAAAAACACTTTTGGGCATCTTGCACATATGGAGTTTGATATCCACCTAGGAAAACCATTTGAGGATGGAAAGCCTACAAAAACAATACCCCCAAAATTTTCCCACAGATATTTTTAGATTTTCAGATATTTTAGGATAACCCTGTCCCCGCTGATGTGCCTCCCTCAGTGCCTGGTTGGGAAAGCCCTATCTTTGGAAATTAGAATTGTTCTTACTTTGTGCCCTCTCAAATAATTTTATTTCCTAGGGCACTGATTTTCTGCTTCCAGCAAGTCTATTAATAGTCTCGGCTTGATCTTTCTTTCCCACAGGCTGGCTGAGATCTGCTGCTGCCACCACTGTGGTAGCTGCAAGGTGCATGTGCTCTTGCCTCTGCTCAGGTGTCGCTAAGTAGCAGAGTTTATGTGGTTGTGGGCAGACAGGTCAGGGTTGCTGGAATGAGCCAGGGCACAGACTGGTTTTCTTCCATGCTTGCTGATTCACCTTGGAGGCATGTGACTCTTTTTGACTGGCCTAACAGTCACAGTTCATGAAACACATTAGTAAGTGAATGTGCTTGGGGCTTTTTGCTTGCCCCCTCCCCCTGTCCCATCTGGCTCCGTGATGGTGGTGGCTTTAGAGCAGGGTTATCCTGTCCAAACATGGCAGGAATCACTTCTCTCTCCCTGCAGCGACTTTGTGTCTGGTGCTTTTCCACTCCCCAGACCCTTTCCTGTGCCTGTTGCTGTGTTAGCACAAGTCAGCTGGGTAGCTGCCAGGACAAGCCTGCCAGGGAGCCTTTTGACTCTTGTCAGCTTCTCAGGGCCCCAGGCTGGTGGACTGTTGAGCATCATGGAATTAGCCTCACCAGAGTCTGGGTTGGGAACCAGGCAGCGAGAATGGAAAAGCTTCTGTCTTGCCTCACTTTGTCTTTCCATTTTGGTGTGGGCGCCTACATACTTGCAGGGTGGGGAGCCAGGACAATGTCATAGAATAAAAATAAAGTGGATTCTAGAGTCTGACAGACTTGAGTTATGAAGGCTGTCTTAACCATTAACCGAATGACCTTGGGCAAGTCACGTAGCCTTTCTCAATATCTTCATCCATAAAAAAGGGGTGAGAACTTGTGCTGAGTTGTTGGGATAAGGTAATGTGCGTAAAGTTCTTAGCATCATTTGTGGCAACCAGCAGGAGCTTAATAAATGTTAGCAGCTTTAATTTTATTGCTGGAAGAATCTATGCTTTCTACAGTAGTTGCCTGTATCCTTGTGAGCCTGATGAGGTAGGGAGCTGGAGGAGAGAGCAACTTTAACTGAGGGACTCTCACAGCCTTGGTGGTTGAGGGACTCATCTGGTTTCTCTCTCTCTCCACACTGTCAGCAGTGCTTTGAAAACATGCATGTGCTTGACGTTGTGGCCCACTAAGACTTCTCTTTGATTTTGCTTTTTTTTTTTTTTGAGTTGGAGTCTCACTGTCACCTGGACTAGAGTGCAGTGGCATACTCACGGCCACTGCAGCCTTGACCTGCTGGGCTCAGGCAATCTTCCTGCCTCAGCCTTCCCAGTAGCTGAAACTCCAGGCACATGCCACCACACCCAGCTAATTTTAAAAAATTTATTTATTGTAGAGATGTGGTCTTGCCAAGCTGCCCGGGCTGATCTCGACCCCATGGACTCAGGCAATCCTCTCACCTCAGCCTCCCAAAGTGCTGGGATTGCAGACATGAGCCACTGTGCCCGGCTAAGACCTCCCTTTGATCTATTTGGGGTGGCAGCCCGTCTGAATAACAAAATAGAAATACATGTCCTCTTATTCCTTTCCTTACACAGTCTGTTTTATAGTATTTGCTAAATGAAGTCTTTGGGGGAATCCATTTGAAAAGCAAGAACTAATTAGTAATTGGTGTATCAGTTTTTATCCTGCTCCAACAGTGCCTTTGGTGTACTGAACAGTTTATTCTTTTTGAATTAAATTTGTTAACATTAATTATCTGTTAATCAAATGCTTTTTACATAATACAGAAGTAAACCCTGGCTTTGTTTTTTGGTCAAAGATGCCAAATGGGCCCTCCTAATTATTGAGATTTTTCAAGTCTTCACGAGGATCCCAGCAAAGGTGACTTTTCTGTCTAGGACCTGGAGACTAGCATCCTTTGTGTCCTTATGCCCTCTCTCCCTGCCCCTATTCTGCTGCTTCCAACTCCAGCTCCACTGCCCTTTTCTACTCGCTGCTGAGCCTGAGCTGCCAAGTGCGGGTGAAGCAGTTTGTGTGACCACATTGCCTGGCCCTCTCCTTTTATGGGTTCTGGATGCAACATAGTCTTGCTACTTTAAAGTGATTTTTTTTTAAAGTCAGAGTCTCTGTCATTCAGGCTGGGGTGCAGGGGCACGCTCACGGCCACCACAGCCTCGACCTGCTGGGCTCAGGTGATCCTTCCGCCTCAGCCTTCCAAGTAGTGGAACTACAAGGCATGCGCCATCATGCCCGGCTAATTTTATTTTTATTTTTTATTGTGGAGATGAGTCTTGCCGAGTTGCCCAGGCTGGTCTCAAACCCCTGAGCTCAGGCAATCCTCTCACCTCCCAAGGTGTTGGGATTACAAGCTTGAGCTGGCTGTTTATTTATTTAGTCTTTTTTTTCCTTTTTTTTTTTTGAGTTGGAGTCTTACTCTATTGTCTACACTGGAGGGCAGTGGCACAATTATGGCTCACCACAGCCTCAAACTCCTGGGCTC